CATGTAAGCAACTTAAATTTTCGTTTTGCTGACCAATATTAAAATCTGACAGGTTATTTCAATAAATTCTCCGACTAGACCAATAACCAATGACAGAAAGATGACATGATTGCAAGCCATGAAGTCCTGGAATCAGTCTTCTTGATAAGCGAGTTATACTACATCAAAATCGTTAAAAGTTTTTCTCAAAAGAATTTTTATAAGTCACAAATATAGATGCTCTTGAAAATTTTATGGTTAAGAAGTATTATTTGCCCAAGTGCTAGTGTTAATTACCATTAGTTAACAATGAACAATAGATTCCAAACAGCCAAAGAATTACAAGAATGGTCATCCTTATATATTGACAGTGGCAACATGGTCTTACAGATAGCTATTTACTAATTTTAGCATAAAAGGAATAGGGCTGGTTGTGCTGCCCAAATCTTTCAGTGTTTGTGGGACAACCTGCTTACCTTTGCTTTCTAATGTCAAAAAATGTCTCAAAAAAAAAAAAAAAAAAAAAAAAAAAAAAAAAAAAAAAAAGAGAACTGAGAGATCCTTTCTGCCTTCCATCAGTAAGGCCGATGTTAACCTCCAGGAAAATGACTTCTTTTGCCTTATCAGGTTAACATTCTCAACTGACACGAAGTGGAAAGACTATATTGAAACCAGTGCTAGGTGCGCTGCTATGCAAATTGGTTCACTGGGATGTGCTAGACAATTTTCTCTCCTGGAATCTATCTTACATATCTACAAGTTTTTCATTTGTCCATGGCTTGAATATTACTGCCACATATGGTCTATGTATTTAGAGATTCTTGATAAAATCCAAAGAATCAGCAATGTCATTGATGTGTCATCTTCAGTCACTTTCACACCACTGTAATGTTGCTTCTCTGTATGCTTTCTACAAATACTTTCATGGTAATTTTTCAGATAAGCTCTTTGCTATCTATGGTATCTAGACTTTATGAATTTAAGTGCAGTACTAGATTATTAAGAAGGTTTCAGTAATATACACTTGAATCAGGTGAGATGTAGCTAAGTTCTATGTTAACAGTTTCTTTTCTCACACTTCTTGCTTGTGGAACTCTCTTCTGGCTTCTTGCTTTCTAGCCAAGTTTGATCTTCAAAAATTTAAATGCAATATCATTATCTACTGTCTTTCTTATTACTCTTTTATTGTTTTCAATCTTCAATAATGCTTCAATCTTCTAATTCTTTCACACCCAGTAACGCTGTTTTTTTTGTGGCTTTACTGCCTTGCATGGGGTGAATTTGATTAAAAAGATTTTTGGATTAAACTGACTACAGATGTTGGGAGGAAGAAAGTCTGCAACTATCTCATACATCATGAGACTTTTACCCCCTCCCTCTCCCAGTATAATAAATTTGAATTAGAGATCAAATGATAGATACATTATTTGAAAATAATCATGAATGGCAGAGTTAAATCTGATGGGGAGGATTTCACAAAAGATTTTGAGTGTCCAAAAAAAAAAAAAAAAAAAAAAAAAAATCTGAATTTTTTCTGTCTGAATTTCTGGACAACTCCTAACTTGGCCTGAGTAACAAAAATCAAAATTGGAGAAAAGAAAAAAAAATCAGAAAATCAAGTTTTTATTGAAATTATTCAGTAAAATAGAAAGTTGCTTTTTTTTTTTCTTTTTAAATTTTGTAGAAATATTTTTTGGTCTGTCATTGAATTAAAATATACATACACATCATTTAAATGAAACTGAAATGGACATTGGTGTCATATGGACTAATTTCTGGCAACAAGCTCTGGGAAAGAAGAAAAGAGTATATTGAAATGTACATCCCTTTGAAGTCATTTTTATGCCTCCTGTATTTAAAGTGCACATATTTTCATATAAATGTTGCATTTTAAATGGACAAACACTTTACATTTGATCATCCTGCTCTCGGTGGAGTAACAGGTACCAAACTATTATATACTGAAAGAACATGTCAAGTAAGAGTATATAAAAAATTAAGCAGAATTAGGATATTGATGGATTATACATGACAAGAAGAATCTCATGAAAATTATATGAAGAAAAAAACAAAAAAAAACTCCATGTTTATAAAAAAAATAATAATAAAAAACACAGAAAGATCAAAACTGCAAAAAGGCATTTCAATTTAAATGTTGATTTTATTTTCCTTTTTTTTTTTTATTCCAAAAATTATTTTGAGATCTTAAGACAGCATCATAAGCACTGACTTTAAAGGCAACGAGGAAGAAATAGCGTCAAGGCAGTACAAAGAAACAAAATGAATTAAACGAAAGGAACCAATATGTTATAATGAAGATGTTTTTGTTGGTTGCTTTTGTGAGAGGAAGAAAAAAGTAGAGAGGACTATAATGAAATAAAAAATCTATTCTATTTTGATTTGACGAGGAAAGGAAAGGCTTTAAAATGATGGAGCATTAGGTATAACTAAGGAAAAAAAACATTTAATATGAATGTCAGGTCAAGAAGCATAATTGGAAAAAAAATTAATATGAATGTCTGGCTAAGAAGCATAAAAAAAAAAAAAAAAAAAGTAATCATATAAAAAAATCTTTTTAAATATCACTTAACAAAACATTTTTTTTTTTTTTTACATTTCCCCGCCAACCCAAATTAAAAAAAAAAAAAACAACAAATTAGAAAAATTAAATATTCTTCAGAATTCTTTCAAATTTAAGAACACAAAAATAATGAGTTTCAGGTTTCACAGGCAGAAAAAGTAAACACATAAGTAAATAAATGGACAAAGAATTTACAAGAATTTATGATTAAAAGCCATTAACAGGATTAACAAAGAATAACAAATTTCCAAAAAATAAAGTTCTAGATTTGTGAATGAATTTTTTTCCAGACTTCATATTGATATTAGACTTGTTATACTACAAAAACCTGCAAAAATAAACCCACATGCATACACATGCAATTAAATATGCACACATAGGCATAGAGCCACGCACAGACACACATTAACAAATACACACACAAGCAGACATTCACACAATACATTCATGCACAAAACTACATATGCAGCAACATTCTACACAGATTCAAAAGGCAGGAAGGACTTGGAGAAATGCATGATGGGTATTATGTAATAAAAAAATAAAATTAAAAAAAAAAAAAAAAGTAAATCATTAACATTTTCTTGGTTTAACAAATGAATTCTTAATTTTCTCCTTTTCAAGGTTTCAGTTCCCTAATAAGAAAATTAGTTTGTTTATTTTTTAATTTTAAATTTGAGTTAAAACTCCTATACCATAATATTTTGATTTAATCAGAAAACTTTGTCAACATCCTAAGGTTTTTAAATTTTGATCTACAGATTTTTAATAGATTTTTTCTTTTATGTACTTTAATTGATTAAAATTTATTTTTAAAAAATATTTTTTTTTTAAAAAAAAGATGCTTAATTTTTCAAATATAAGGACGTGGATAATACAATATTTTGATTTTTATACAATTTGACCAAAATTGTAAGAGTTTCTTCTCTAATAAGGATGTACTAACCTGATAAGTGTGTGTGTATGTGTGTGTGTGTGTGGGGGGTTATAAACTAACCTCTCCAGATCTTAATACATCATTTTAAAAATAGACATTTTTACAATTTCAAATTTAGAATCACATGCTGAAGTGAGGGCTAATCTCTTAATACTGTAATTTAATTACACAGCAATAGAGAAAAACCTTGATTCAATATGGGTTAATATTTTCATATGATTCCTAGTACACACATTGTTCATGTATCTGTATGAATGAGTGTGTGATACCATGGTATACATCAAAAGATAGAAATAATGTTAATAAAAAAAAGAAAAAAGAAAAAAAATAATATTTTAAATTTCCCACCATTTTTGTAATGGGTAGTTTTTTTCCGGCTTTATTGTTATGTTTTGTTTTTATTATTATTTTTTTTTTCCAAATTGTACAACCAATCTGAAATATTTACCTGAGTAGCATCACAACTTTATTTTGGTTATCTATTTTTAAAAATATGCCAAAGGCATTATTTTCATTTTAATATATTTTTCTTGCAGGGAGGAGGGAGGAGGAAGAGGAGGCAAGGATTGTAATATACACAAATTATGAATAAAAGAAAAAAAAATTGGTTATATACATAATTGTTTAAGATCAATTCATTGTCCCTTTTTACTTAAGGGAGTTTTTCATTATTGATTTTGCAAAAGTTAACACCAATGCACTCCAATTAGAATTTTCTCTTTCAAATGGGAATATGCCAGAAAGCAGCAAATAATAAATTGTTTTACTGGCTTAAAGAAGAGAAAAAGAAAAAAAAAAAAAATAATACATTTTAAAAATTTTTTTTTTTTTATAGCAGAATTATTTTTTTTTTGGCAAGTTTTACACATTTAAATTGTAAATATTAAAATTTTGAGATATATATATATATATATATATATATATATATATATATATATATATATATATATGGTTTAATTTTTAAGTTTTGTTGGTTTAATTTCTAAATATTTTAGTGACTATTAATTCTTTTAAATTGATTCTCAGCTTCATTATCTCCAGCAATAATAGTAGCAATATAATTAATAGTAATACACTTAATATAACAGTAATAATTACTACCACAAGTAACTCATCAATGACCATTGGATGGAAAAAAAAAACCACACACACAATGTTGGAGGGACAGGGAATTTTTGTTAAGCAGAAAGAAAAATATATTTTACAGATAAGCTGTAAGCCAAGAAAGAAGATGCCTACAACACTTGCCTCTCAGTATTCTTCATTGTTTTACTCGCATCCAAAAAATTAAAGGGGAGGGAATATCATTGTTCACTTTTGTTTAACAACACACAATTCTTTCATTTCAAAATTCAAATTAGTTAATTTGGTCTTTTCATGGTATCATTTAATTTTTCTGAATTTTTTTTTTTTTGTTTTGCATTTTAAACTTGTGAAAAAAAAAAAAACAAATAAAATAAATAGGTAAAAAAAAAATAGGTCCAAAGAGAAAGAATAGATTAATTAAGTCAATATGATATGTGGATTTCGACTGTCCTTGTTAACAACATGAAAGCTAATCTGTTTCTTAGACAATATCCACCAAATTGTAGCCGCATTCTCCAGAAGCAGCATAATTGGGATGTTGATGCATGCCGCCAAACAGACAGATATGTAACGTGCAGTGCCAAGTTTTTGCCAACTGAAGGATTTAGCAGCACCAAAGATAGACAGAAAACCCATCATGCCTGCTATGAAACCACAAATGAAGTTGAAGTGAGGTAACAATGGCACTGGAAAAAACAATGTCAGTGGCACATTTAGTGTAGTTAAAGGCATGCAAATCCAGGAGATAACCATACAACAGATTCCAATTTTATATTTAAAAGGGATAGAGGAACTGCATACTGTTGCATAGATGCCCTGCATCCAACGCTTTCTTTGGCGTACAAAGTCAATAACTGTGAATGTACTCTTCTCATACATTTCTCCTTCAACAAAGCCAAACTTATAGCCTTCCCGGAAGGCAACCATTGCAAAATAACAATCCTCAGCTATGGATGCCTCTGGTCCATGATCAAAAGACACTTTTTTCTCAGCACCTACATTGGCTACTACAAATGAACCCTTCCAGCTGAAGATGGGTTTCTTAAATGTTCGGAAGGTGAACTGCAAAGAACCAAAATCTATGCCAACACGGACGCAATCGGACAGTGTGGTACACCAGTTGACAATCTTGTCCTTCGCATAGGTGATGACACCCTGGCCAAATTCTACGTTGCCATCAGCCACAAAGTTGAAGATTCCTATCACAGAGTCCTCGGTGAGGACTGTCTCCTCATCAAGATGAACAATCCAATCTTCATCGCTGAGGATATTAATGTCAGATTCAAGGCAATACTGAAGAGCACGGGCCTTGTAAAGAGACCCAGCACGCGTGCTGTAACTATAAGGAACAACCAAAGTGCGCAGGCGAGGCATGTCCTGTAAGTGGATGGGTTTGTCTGTCACAACCTCAATCATAAAGTTGTCAAGGCCAACTTTGATGCATGTTGACAAGTTTTGCTCAACATTCTCCCGCACAAGCAATGGGTAGTCTCCTCTTGTGACGACCCTGAAACAAATGAATGGCCCAAGAAGTGGAGAACTCTTTAAGTGAGGTTTTGAAGGGAATGTGTTGAAGAAAGTCAGTCCAAGAAAATTTGACAAAGTAAATGGTAAAGACAAGCATGGCAGTGCACGAAGAACGTAGAAGAGAATGGTCAAGCACCATCCATATGTCTCAATGGGATTAATCTGCTGGTTGGGATCACTCTCATCTTGGAATCCACCCGTGACGTAGATCACAAGCCCTATAAAAATGCACATAGCAGTGAATACCAGTAAATGCTGCACCTTCTGCTGAATGGATGCCACTTTAATTTGGAAGGGCATCTTGAAAGCAATGAAGGAATGTAGCAATCCAAAACAGGTAATACAGGAACACAGTGGACAGCTGTCATCAAGTAAATGTTGGCATCATCTTAGGCAGGTGAGAGCAGCTTTGAGTCCAAGCTGCCAATCATACAATTTCCAACTGAAATGGAAAAACAAAAATGCTATCAAAATAAGGAAAGATGAACATGAAATAACAGTTACTAAAGAGTTAAAGAAATAATACCTATGTTTTATATATAGTTTATAGCAAAGATTGTATATTAAAAAACAACATATACATATATATGAACCAATATTTTTCTAAGATAACACTTAAGGCAGACAGTCTTTGTAATTAAAGTTCTCAAAAATGAAGAGAGCATTAAAAAACAATAAAATTTTAAACTTATTTTTATTTGTCAAGATTATATATAATCATAGTTATGTATTTGGGTAGTAATCCCTCTATAATACATGTTTCATTGAAAATGACTGACAAGTGTTTATTATTTTTTCTTGTGTCGAATAAAAAAAAAATGAGGGGGTGGTCATAGTGTATGTTGAAATTGGCCAACCCAAATCCTTGAAAATGCTTAATAGATTAGCTGAAAGTGTTCAGAACAATCATTGATTTAGACAATTTCTACATACACTATGCCCCAAAAAAATTTATTCATATATATATCTCAAGAACAATATTGAGTAAAGACACTTCCATTTTGTCATATATATATATATATATATATATATATATATAGGTTTTCCAATTTCTTTTTGAATTTATAGGTCTGATGAATTGGATCGTAATTACAATTCCAATGTAATAAATTATAACCATGGAATATTAGTGTTTCAACCTTTATATATATATATATATATATATATATATGACAGAGTAAATTTTTTTAAAAATATTTTATTGCATTTTTTTTCTGTGTGAACAATAAATTTATTATATATAAATAAAGGTAAAGTTTGTAGACACTACAAACAAATGACTCAATGTTAGGTATATAAAATAGACACAGAAGGAGAGCAAATATAAACTAGATAAAGACAAAACAATACTTACAAGTATTTAAAATTTTCCTTTATGGCATGTTCTAGCTTATTTGGTATCCACCCCCACTGTTCTCCCCAACTCACCACCATCATTCAGACTATTGTATTATATGATACTAGCTGCAGGAGTACCAATTTTTGAAGGAATATTCTTTCACCACCTGACTAATATTGACCAACTCTATGGCCACATGAAACATAATTGTGGATAACAGTGAAATATAAGTACAAATTTTTTTCTTATATAATAAAAATGATCAATATGAAATATAGGAAAACCATTTGGAGGTTTTAAATTTTTTTTTATTAACATTTCATTCAAAAAGGACATCATCAGAACAACTGAAAATATTAAGGAAAATCATTATCATGACGTACCATGCTACTTGGAAACACTGTGGCTAATTTGAAAATGTAATAATAAAAATTAAACCTATGAATTTCACTAATCCAAAAATTTAAATTATTTTTAATTTTATCAAATTTAATTTTCAAAATAACTTGTGTATCTAAGTATTAAGGTTGCAATGATAATGATTTTTTTCTTTTTTCAGTTGTTCTGACATTGTTCTCACTGAACAAAACATTGGCAACAGAATGAAAATTTTAGTCATCTAACTGGTTTTCACACATTCCATATATATATTTTATATAAGTAATGTGTTAGACAGTAGACCTATTTTGCCACCAAAAGAAGTAAACAGTTACATGAGAAATCAAATAAGTTTCATTAAATCTAAATGTTAGAACAGGCATTAGTGAGAAACACTCTTTAGTTTCAGTGTTCAAAGGTTTTCTTTTTTCACTTTTTTAATGGGTCAAATTAATAAAATTTAAACTAAACATTTATAATATATTAAGAAAAAAAAATGAAAATGATGCTTGTAATTGTTTTTGTTAATTTAAATTGTATTAATATTTTTGCTCAAAGAAAAAAATAGCTGTACAAAATTCATCACAACAGGAATATACAAATTGAACCTTGCATATGTAATTTGTTTTAAAAATGTGTGTATGAGAGAGAAAGTATATTGGTACTATGTAACCTAGTTTTAATTGCTACATCATTAGGTTATTAGCAACTAAATCAATTCCCCCACCAGGCTTTTCTGATAGGGAGAATGGCTAGACATTCAACAGGATTAAAATCAAGACTTGTCAAAAGGCAAATAAACTTTTGTGTAGGGTCAACCAGCATCTAGCACCATGGGGAGTAAACTGGGGTCCCGTAACTATAGATACAGTCAGTACAGTGTATGGAACTGGGCAGGGGTCTTCTTCCCAGGCTGAATTCAACAGCTAGTAAAGATGGAATCAAGAGTAATATGTCTATAGCCAAAGTGAGCCTTTAAATTAGAGAACATTGGCTGTGGTTTGACATGGAAAATGATAGGATCTACCAGTTTGACTTGGCCAAGACACACTATGCAAGAATGAATGAATAACTTTTGAGTCTTTCAACTCAGATATGTGGAGGAAACTGATCAGGTATAACCACACCCAGTCATGCTGATGATGATGTGTGTGTGTGTGTGTGTGTGTGTGTGTGAGACACTCACAAGGTAGTGTAGTGTTATGGAAAATGATATTTATGAACAAAGCTTCCACTCAAGCTACTTCTTTTCTCCTTTATATTAGAGAAAGGGATTAATCCACTCCTTGTGCTTTGTATGATGGAAAAAAATAAAAAAAATAAAAATAAAAAAAAATTAAAGATACAGTAATGTAGGAGGCATTTGGTCAAACCCCTCCTTAGTTAATGAATGCCAAATGTTTCCTGTATAGAAATGACTAATTATACTATTACCATTCTCCTCAATATTTTTTTTTTTTTTTTTTAGTCATTTTAATTTCATTACTAACAGTTAAGAAATGAGAAAATTAAAAAAGTATAATGGGGTGTAAAACATCTTTAGGAGAAATTTTCAAAGCTTGAAAAGGTTTCAAAATGAGAAGAAAAAATTCAAAACATTTTTAAATTAATGAAATCCAGAAAACCTTGACACACAAAGTAAAAAAAAATAATAAAAAAACAAAAAAAAAAAAAACCCAAAAAAAACGTTGAGATGAAAATAAAGTCTTTACAAAAAATTTAAAAAAATGTCAATTAATTACCAGAATTGGCAAATGAACAATGACCAACAAGTGGTAGTGGATTTCGTGTGTGTACATTTTGTTTCCCTACATTAATAATAAAATAAAAGTAGCAATATCTTTGCAGATAACTTTTCTTTCTCTCAGGAGAAGATGCTTTTATAGAAAAAAGCTAATCTATCAAATATATTCATCTGATATTGCCTAAAACACAAAGTATTTCAAGACCCTTTGTAGAAAAAAAGCATAGTGATTATATCTCCATACATTAAAAGATTTAACTAAAGGGATTATTTTTCTGAATAGTAATGGATGTTTATATACACTATTTACATTATTCGGACTACTGTCCTCATCTTTGTTGCCATATTTATCACAAATAAATGATGAATATAGCGATAAAGATGAGGACAATAGTCCGAATAATGTCAATAGTGTGCATAATACTTCATCTCAGAAATATAGACAGATGTTTATGAAAACCTAAAAAGCTGAAGATTTGTGAAGTCTACTGGTGGTCAAGTATTTCAAGCAACTAAGTTGATATGACAAAAGTTTTAGAAAAGTTCTTCAATGTACAATTATTTTAAACTGTTACCACTTATGGTTAAAATATATGTTTAATCAAATTTTGACATCAGGTTTAAAAAATAAAACATTTTCATAGTTCAGTAGAGAATAAGAAAAGAAAATAGTGATTCTTGAGTTATTTGTGTTCCTATGATCTTCTATTAAAACAAAACATTAGAAATAGACATACAAAAAAATATCAAACAATTCCTCACAAAAGAAAAAAAAATGGTAAATTCAATATCATCTTGGCAAAATATTTGGAATTTTGACTTCAATTTAAAAAAAAGTTTCTATTTATTTTTGCTAGAATTCAATTAAATTTTAGCATAGAACATAATGCCATCTAATCCTCCATAAGGGTGTGATTCTAGAATAAGCATTAAAGTGACATTCTTGAAGGATAATCTCAAGAGAATAGAGGGCAATTTCCTGCTAAAGTTTCATATCAATATTTTTTAAAATACTAAAATATACTATTTGAGAGCCATTTTTTAACAATAAAGTTCACCTTGTAAAAGGCCCAAAAGCCACTTGAGGTAGAGGGTTACAGGGTAAGATTTATTATTGGTTGATTTTGTTTAGTGGCATATCAACATCTGTATGGGTTATTTAATGCTGAAATCTAAATATTTTTTATGCAATTTTATTTTATTTTTGGAGATAATGGTTTAGTGATACAAGTTTTACTAATTAACTCATGGCTGGGGGAGAAAAGGGGAATTCACACCTTTCCCAAGAGTATTTACATGTAAGTGAATATAATGATCCCAACTGAAATTGGAACTTGGATCTCTAATTAACAATTCCAAGCCATTGTTCATTAAACTACCTGCAAGTCCAAGCTTACAGCATATGGTATTCCTGAGTGATCACCCATCTGGGTACTGACCAGCCTTGACAGTGCTTAACTTTGGTGATCATACTGGAACCTGTGTTTTAATGTGATATGGCCATAATACTACAAGGTAAGAGGGACAGTTTATGAGGATATGTATGGAAGATAAAGGTTAATAATCCCAGACTTGAACAGGTTAAGATTGTAGTGATTGGCGAAATACCAAAGCAGTTCCAAAGTAGCAGTTTCTGGAAAGAAGCTGAGTTTGAGTGGAACTTACATCACACCAACAGAATATGAAGGAATAAAAGCAATTTGCTACAATGTGTATGGCATGATGGATCTTGGGTTAGAACAAGGAATAAATTGGATTGGTGCATAATTATCAGGCGGTTTTGTAGGAGAGTTATTTGTTAATAAAAATTGCTATTCTGTTTACTTTTTCTTTTTAACAAAAATATTATTTTATTTTCAGGTTATAAAAATGTGTGTTGATAATCATACGCTCTGGAATATTTATATTTAAAAATGTTATTGTTGAATTGTTATATTCTTTTCATACTAAATATTGTTTAAAAACGCCTGATAATTATGCACCAACATAATAGTTCAACTGAACACCTTCCATGTAAATAATGATAAAGTAGAAAGAGGCTTGCAACATTTTATCTGTGCAAAAGCCTGCATTATATGCAATGGTGAGTTTCTGCCATTTAATGTAGAGACCCTAAATTTTTACTTGTGTTTTTTTTTTTTTTTTTTTAACTGTTAGATTGGCAAATTACTGTTGTATTTTTTACCAAGATATTAAAAGGATTGGCAGGAATTTGTGTTAAGTGTTAATATATGGCAGTTGGTTTCTGGTGATGATGGGTTGATATTTATTTTACTGTAACATGATACACTATAATCACTACAATTAATTCTCTACCATGATTGGCTCTTGGGACTTGTATTGGGTGAACATTAGTTGGAAAAAAATTGAAAAACATCCTTAGATATATAGGTCCAATAGATAGTATTAAAAAAAAAAAAAATATTTAAAACCCAACCTTATAGTTACTAACAACACCTCAACAATAATACCGTTTTACAAAGGAATAATTTTGCATACCAATTCTCTTATCTTTTGGAAGGCGGGGATATATATATAAGTTGACATTAGTCAGGCTACAAAATTCCTCTTACGACTGTTTGCAGGTGTGTGACAGGTCAAAGAGCTATATACAAACATTTAACAAATGCGAAATTATCAACTTCAGAGCTTGTAAGAAAAAAAGAGATTCGGATAATCAAATGACAAAATGGAAAAAAACTAAGCCATTTATTTTGTTCATAAAAGACTTCAAGAAAAGCATTAGTTTTTTTCTACTATCATTCCATTCCCCACTATTCATGATATATAGATTTATAGATTGTGACTTTTATGCAGACATTTGAATCAATGAAACAGTGAAGATCAATTACCAAGATCCTTTTAAACATTTTGTTTAACTTAATTAAACAGGAAATAATAAAAATACAAATTTAAGAATCAAATTAAAAAAAATTACCATTCATTTAAATATTGTTGCATTACAATTTAATTGCAACTTTCAGGAAAAGATTTTTTTTTCATTTTTTAAAAAAGAAAAAAAACCCTGTATCATTAGAATAGAAAATGCAATACCATACCCCAATATACAAACATGAACATACACAGGCCATTGAAATTCTATATATTAATACTTATAATACTTATTACCTATAGGTGTTAACTGAGAGTTAAGTACAAGAAAGTTAAATTTACAAAGTGTCAGATGTTTATATTTAAGTGTAATTTTCTTGTAATAAGAAAATTATTGTTTATCAGTAAGGTAAAAATTTAAGACATCGAATTTTTCTCGTTTCTACAATATTTTGTAAGTCCGCTAAATAGAGATAGAAAATCCACCCATCTGTACACACAGTGTGTGGATTTGTTGTTCTCATGCCAACTGGATGATAAGAATGTTTAGTAAAAATAGTGAGAAGAAAAAATGTCAAAAGAATTATCAGAAGTTTACAACATTTTTTAATTACAGAGAGAATTTAAACAAAGAATACATTTGAAGGAAGGGAACAGCAAACCAATAAAGAAAAGATATGCAAGGAAAAATCATAAAAGTCATGCCTTTTTAGAAAGGTAATGATACTAAATTGAAATTTCAGAAGAGAAAGGAAAAAAAAAGTTAAACCTTACAGAAGACGTACACTAAGCAATAAGAAAAATGAAATGACAAAAATATTAAAAGAAACTTGCAAATATAGAAAGTCTTTTTCCCTACTTACCAAGAAGCTGTCAACAATTTAAGAAAAGTCTTCACAAGTGGTATAGAATCAAACAGGTTTCTTTTTGTTTTTACAGCTAATAAAAAGATGCAGTTATAAGCCAATGAGCAGCTAACAACAGGCAAGCATTGAACAGAGGATGATCCAATTGGTTGGTTGGTTGGTAGAAGCAGAGGAGAGCTCAAGTAGTTTAAAGTCATACATAACTATGCAGAGAATAAAATGTTGTCAAGCCTTTTAAATATGAATACAAATACCTTGTGTTTTGTTCTGCCTTAGCCAATAATGTTACATATCGATAGAGAAAGAGCCACACACCCCATAATCAACAGACCTAACAAGACATCTCTATGCACACAGACAAAATACAGAGCTACTTAAAAAAAAAAAATAATACATACTAATAAATGTTAGGGAAAAATGTAGAAAACAAGTTAAACTATTTTGAAAGACAAAAAAAAAATGTACAAGACTATAGAAAATAAGTATTAAAAAAAAAAAAATGCATAAAAATATTAGGAAAAATATAGAAAACAAGTCAAACTATTTTGAAAGACCAAATATAATGATTAAAACTATTGGGGTGCCATTTCATTTTCTTAGAGTGTTTCTTAAACTCTGACAGTTTAAAAATATTAATATTATTACAAATAGTTTTTACTCCTACATTAGTATCTACATGAGAAATGTAGATGCCATTTCTCAACTATTTCTTAATAATTTTCCCAATGATTTAAGCAAAATTAAAATTTTATAGTGGCACATTTCATTAGACATAAGCCAGACAACAGTTTTGTCAAAATTGAAAAAAAAACAAGAATTATTACCACCAAGAATCCCTTGATGCTATTATAAGCACATTCTAAGAAAAGGATTGATCAAAGGCTTCATTTTGAACAAAATTTGGTGTACCTGTAGTTCAGCTAATACAACCAATAAAAAAATTTCAAAGCTTTAGATTCATCAAAGGTGATTACTATGTGCCATGTCCCTTCAGGACATTGGTGATCCTGGCTCTCCACCATTTCCTGTCCTTTGTAACTCATACTAAATTGTCTTTTTGCTATCTCTCCTAAACCCTCTTCTGCCAACCATTTACACAAACTCATTAGATAAGTTATGTGCTGTTTCCTTTGTGTTTCTCTTGCCTTCACTATGTCCTGTGAGTGTCAAATTTTCTAAGTCCTCTTTCCTCATTATGTGTCTTAGAAATTTCAACTGTCTTTCTGATGTTAAGTATAAATGTCCTTTTTGTTTCCATTGTCTCTAAAAATTCAACATTCCTCACAGGTTCAGCCCATGGTATTCTCAGCATACGTCTGTAGAACCATATTTCTGTTGCTTCAAGTCTCTTCGCCTGGGAGGAGAGTGCACCTTACTATAATATAAAGGAGTACTGGTATTACATAACAGTACTCAAGAAACTACTACTCCTGTGAAAAACAGACTTGGGGTGAGTGAGGACAATATTTCCATTAAGAAGATGAACTATACAAAAATCAATTAAGTCACTAATGAATACAAGCTAAGTTATATATCCAAACTTGAGTGTGTGTGTATATATATATATATATATATATATATAAAGAAATTAGTGGATTTTATTTATAATCTGACATTATTTGATATTACTTTAAACTTTATATGGAGTGGATACACATGTTCAACTGTCTATCCCTATTTTTTTAAACAGTGTAAATCTATACCTATCAGCCTGTGTATTTGAGTCGTAAAGATTAACAAAGTCAATTACTCTATTTAAGATTTGCTTCACTGTGGAAGTTTTCCATGGTTGACTGCTGTAACAGCATGCCAGGCTATATAGTGATTTCCCTTACAAGGGGGAACCGGGTTTAAACACTTGCATGAAGGCATATTTTCTTTAAGACTTTTTAGTGCACAAGCTGGTAGACATAGATTTACATTGTTTAAAAAAACACGTGTATCCACACATGATTGGATAAATATGTTCCAATATACCTTAATAAAAAAAACACAAAACAAAATCACCGCAGTTGATGTTCATCATCCTGAGCCGTCAAAGTTCTTAATAAAGAAGTGTGTTTTGTATTATATATACACTGGCATTTTTTCTAACTTACAAATGAATTTTGATAAGGCAGATAAATTTTTTCCATAAAAGCACAAACTTAAAAAAAAAAATTACTATTAACAAATATTACTTATGTTTGGCATTTTTAAAAAAAATTGAATTAAAAATAAACACTGATGAAATATTTATTAAAATATACTTTTACAAATTTTTATGCAAAGTAAATTTTACCACTTATGTTGCAAACGTACTATGTTAATAATATATAAGAAAAGCCGATATAAATGTGATTGTTTATGTGATATTAATACAGGCTATTTTGGTTTGGTTTGTTTTATGGTATATCAACCTCAATGGGTTATTTAATGCCAATAATTTTTATTGCTGGTAATATTTTTTCATTCAAAAAATCTATTTCTGGTAATATTTTTTCTTCAAAATGTATTGCTGTTGTTCATTTTTTATAGTCAAAGATGATTATAAATTCAGTTCTGGGTTCTGCTGCAAGTCCAGATTCTGAAGTATTCCCCACATATGACATACATTTAGCATTGTAGCAATACTGGTCATGCATAAGAATTTCTTCTCAAACTCAAAAATTCCCTTTTTAGCCCTGTTTAGAAATTTTTGCTCCTTCACACAAGGTGGTTCTAAACAATGTTCTTTCAGAACTGTTTTCAATATTCAGATCATCAAAGGTAGTCTTTATGCAATCCTTGAAATATTTCTTCTACCACTTTTGTGATGTCAACAAAC